CTGGAGTGCAGTGGTAAGATCATAGCTCACTGCAGCCTCTAACTCCCGGGCTCAAGAGATCCTCCAACCTCAGCCTCCCAAGTAGCTGGGACTACAGGCACATGCCACCACACCTGGCTAATTTTTATTTTATTTTATTTTTAGAGACAGGGTCTCGCTATGTTGTCCAGGCTGGTCTTGAACTCTTGGATTCAAGTGATCCTCCTGCTTCGACCTCCTAAAGTGGTGGAATTATAGGCATGAGCCACTGTACCTGGCCCTACAAAGAACATTTTACATTTTTCCATGGGGCCAAGGACCCATGGAGTCCTTGGGGCCTCATTCCTGCTCTCCCGTCCAGGCCAAGACCCTCTGCAATCCTTAAGAGGACAGGCTCCATACTGTGGAACCCACAGTGCAGGGCCACCTTCTCCTTCTGAGTCTTCTGAGTCCAAGATGGGGCCTAAGGCTTCCTGACCCCACCAGCAGGGAGGAAGAGGCTAGAGGAGACAGCCCAGGTGGATGGGCTCAAAGTAAGAACACCTGCTTCTCATCCTGGCTCTTCTGCTGACTTGCTGAGTGGATTTGGGCAAATCCTTTTTTCCTTTATGAGAAAGGATAATATAGCTGGGCTCGGTGGCTCTTGCCTGTAATCTCAGCACTTTGGGTAGCCGAGGTGGGCAGATTGCCTGAGGTCAGGAGTTTGAGATCAGCTTGGCCAACATGGCAAAACCCTGTCTCTACTAAAAATACAAAAATTAGCTGGGCGTGGTGGCACATGCCTGCAGTCCCAGCTATTCAGGAGACTGAGGCAGGAGGATCGCATGAGCCTGGGAGGTGGAGGTTGCCGTGAGCGGAGATGGCGCCACTGCACTCCAACCTGGGCGACAGAGTGAGACTTCACCTCAAACAAACAAACAAACAAACAACCCACCATAGTAACTACCACTTCCTGAGAGCCAAGCGTGTGCCGGCTCTGTGCCTCATAGTCACATCTCTCAGTGAATTCTAGGTGATCCTGCAGATGGGTCCTATTACAATTCCTGTTTTCCAGATGAAGAAACTGAGGCTCAAGAGGTGCATTACTGGAGTAAGGTGAGAAGGCTTTGTGCTGAATCCTGGATTTGATCCAGGGCATCTGACTCCAGCGCCTTTCCTGAGCTATATATATGAAACCTCTCTGAAATAGCTTTCATTTTATGGAGCATGTGCTATTTTCCAGGAACTGTGCCGAGTGCTTTGCATCCATTTATCTTCTCAAATCCTGGCTCCATTTCATTATAATCTCACCTTAAGTGTCACCTCTTTGCGATGTTTTCTGAGGTTTCTCAGTGAGTTCGTACCTCCCCCACTACATCGCCCACTCTGGCTTAGTTCCTTCATAATACTTTTTCTCCTTTTTTTCTTTTTTCTTTTTTTCTTTTCCTGGAGACAGAGTCTTGCTCTGTCACCCAGGCTGGACTGCAATGGTGCGATCTCAGCTCACTGCAGCCTCTGCCTCCCGGGTAGCTGGGATACAGACACGTGCCACCATGCCCAGCTAATTTTTGGTTGTTTTTTTTTTTTTTTTTTTTTTTTTGAGATGGAGTCTCGCTCTCTGTCCCCCAGGCTAGAGTGTGGTGGCGCGATCTCAGCTCACTGCAAGCTCCGCCTCCGGGGTTTACGCCATTCTCCTGCCTCAGCCTCCCGAGTAGCTGGGACTACAGGCGCCCGCCACCTCGCCCGGCTAGTTTTTTTGTATTTTTTAGTAGAGATGGGGTTTCACCATGTTAGCCAGGATGGTCTCGATCTCCTGACCTCGTGATCCACCTGTCTTGGCCTCCCAAAGTGCTGGGATTACAGGCTTGAGCCACCGCGCTCGGCCAAATTTTTGTATTTTTAGTAGAGATGGGGTTTCACCGTGTTGGCAAGGCAGGTCTTGAACTCCTGACCACAGGTGATTCACCTGCCTCGGCCTCCCAAAGTGCTGAGATTATAGGCGTGAGCCCCCATGCCTGGCCTCTCCTTTTTTTTCTTTTAAATAAATATTATGATGATGATTTTTTTTCAAGACAGAATCTCACTCCATCACCCAGGCTGGAGTGCACTGGCGCAATCTCGGTTCACTGCAACCTCTGCCTCCCAGGTTCAAGCAATTCTCCTGCCTTAGCCTCCCAAGTAACTGGGATTACAGGCGCCCCCCACCACGCCAGGCTAATTTTTGTCTTTTTAGTAGAGACAGGGTTTCACCATGTTGGCCAGGCTGGTCTTGAACTCCTGACCTCAAATGATCCACCCACCTCAGCCTCCTAAAGTGCTGGGATTACAGGAGTGAGCCATTGCACCTGGCTCTTTTAAATAAATATTAAACAACTGAACTTGGAACCTTCAGAACACATTGGTTATGTGAGATCCACTCATCTGTTTATCTGTTGCACAATCTGCCTGGGTGTGGCAGAACATAAGCTCCTTGGAGGCTGGGACCTTATTGGTCTAGTCTATTGTTGTGTCCTCAACACCTCTGTGCGTGTCTGGCACATAATAGGCACAATAGATATTTGTTGGATAAATGAATGACTCCAGACAACAAATGTATGGAGTACACAGCACTACTAACTGCATTTTACAGATAACGAAACCAAGGCCCAGGTGTGAAACAACTAGCACAGAGTCAAAGGGCGATGCAGCAAAAATGTAAACCCTGAGCCTCCCCTGATGAGTCTGAATGGCTCCTCCTAGCTCCAAACCTGAAGTGTGAACACTCTTATCTTTATCGTAAAAAGAGAGGGACTGTGTACCAACTCTCTGTTCAGTGGGCTGGACTGGGAAGGCAGGCCTTTTGCTTGTTTTCATTCTATTTCTCCACCGAGAGTGCAGAGGTTTGGACCCCCGTTGAGGCCAGACTGACAGGATTGGAGGAAACAGCTGGGCTGAGTCCGTGCCCTGCAGGAGGGAGCTCACATTCCCGGACTCTGGGAGACAGCAGCTCCCCACAGCTCAGTCACATTCCAGGTCGGTCATTTGCCTGAGCCCAGATGTTTGCTAATGAGCTGGGGAGAGGGGCTTTCAGCCCTGAGCCCCAGTTCTGGGCCCCACATTACCTCGGCCCCAAGAGGCTGGCCCAGGGCCAGGAGGCTCTGGCCTCAGGCCCACGCCCTGTGCCAGCCAGGCCTGTAGGGGCAGCTGGAACACCACTGCCAACCAGGTGCATCTGCTCAAGCTGGGAGACTCTGACGTGACAGGTTCTGCCTTTCCCGCTGGGGCCCCTGGGTCCGGTCACCAGTGCAGCATCCCTGCTGCAGCCTGATGGGGAGGAGCACTGAGGCAGTCGAGAGGGTGGAGAGGGTGTGGTGGGCACGGAAGCACGGACTTTGGTGTTGACAGGTCTGGGCTCAAGTCCAGGCTTTGTCAATTACTAGCAATGTGGTCTTGAGCAGGCAATGACACTTTTTGGTGTCTCGATTTTTCTCACCTGTAAAACGGGAACAATGATGGGACTGTGGTAAGGATTAGAGATGAAGCAGACAGAGTGGCCAGTATAATGGCTGGCACAAAATGGGTAGACATTACTACCAAATGACTTCCCAGACCCCCTGCCCACACCGTAGCTTTCCAATAGTTATCAGTCATCACCAGACAGATGGTGACTCAACTCCAAACCCTTTGTCCCTGATGAGGAGGTTGGTGGTGGTCTTGAACCTCCCCGTGTTTGAGAGATGGTGGGCTGCCCTGTCAAAGGCGCTGGCTGGAAGTTGTGGCTTCTACTCCTGGCTCTATGTGTGATCTGACCAGCTCATCAGGCTCCACAATTAGCTTTCTGCAATGTGGGAGTGGATTGTCACAAAATGTAGAACTCCACTTTCCACCCTGCTCAGGGTCTGCCTGAAAGATGGTGGTGGTAAGCTTTGGTTGCAAAATGGTAAATATTTCCTGAGTGTCTGGTGTGTACAGTGCAGTGAGGCTGGTTTCTGCAGCACATGGTACATGGTTATCCAACAGACATTAGCTGGCATGGGCTCTTACCGTGTGACTTTAGGCAAGTTACTTAACCTTTCTCTAGATGTTCCTTTTGTCACTTTTTTTTTTTTTTTTCTTTTTGAGACAAGGCCTCGCTGGAGTGACAAGCTCATTAGGTTCCACAATTAGCTTTCTGTAATGTCATCCAGGCTGGAATACGGTGGCATAATCATAGCACACTACAGCCTCAAACTCCTGGGATCAAGTGATCCTCCTGCGTCGGGATTTTTTCCACTTTTATTATATTATTTGTTTATTTATTTATTTTTTGAGACAGAGTCTCACTCTGTCTCCAGGCTGGAGTGCAGTGGTGCAATCTCGGCTCACTGCAACCTCCACCTCTCAGATTCAAGTGATTCTCCTGCCTCAGCCTCCCAAGTAGCTGGGACTACAGGCGCATGCCACCACACCTGGCTGATTTTTGTATTTTTAGTAGGACAGGGTTTCACCATATTGGCCAGGCTGGTCTCGAACTCCTGACCTCAAGTGATCCGCCTGCCTTGGCCTCCCAAAGTGCTGGGATTACAGGCATGAGCCACGGTGCCCAGTACTTTTAAAATAGAGACAATACTTACCTCATAGGTTTATTGTGAGAGTGGCAACAGCTTGCAGTGGGATGAGGCACATGGTAAGGTGCTCAATATGTGTGAACTATTATAACGGTCATAGTTACCATTAAGGGGAGACCTATCTGTACTACATCAAACGGGGATAATAATTACTTTATTCGCTGGGCATGGTGACTCACGCCTGTAATCCCAACACTTTGGGAGGCCAAGGTGGGCAGATCACTTGAGGCCAGGAGTTCGAGACGAGCCTGGGCAACATGGCAAAACCCCATCTCTACTAAAAATACAAAAACATTCCAGGTGGTGGGCACCTGGAATCCCAGCGACTCGGGAGGCTGAGAATTGCTGGAACCCAGGAGGCAGAGGTTGCAGTGGGCGGAGATCTCGCCATTGCATTTCAGCCAGGGCAACAACAACAAAACTCCGTTTCAAAATAATAATAACAACAACAACAACTTCATTCAATCAAATACATTGTACATCTCACCTGGCCTGCCCATAAGCAATGAAGACACTGAAATACACACATGATTCCTGCCCTCAAGGTCTAGTGGAGGAAAGAGATGTACACAGCTATTCTAGAGGGAAACTGACATGAACAGAAGTTCTCATCCAGTGCTCCAGGATCACACTGGAGGCGGGAGATGCTCCCAGAGGGTCTTGGGAAGGCTTTCCAATCTGGTGCTGTTAGAATATTTGCCAGAGATGAAAGGAGGGGAAGGGAATTCCGGGTAGAGGGAAGGGCGCAGGAAACAGCTAGGAGGCACAGATGCAGGCTGGGTGTGGAGGGTGCGGGTAGGCTGGAGTACACCAGGGAGTTTCCAGCAGGCCACTAGGAGCCACCCAGGATGCTCGGCAACCTCATGAGTCAGACGAGCAGGGCTGCGTCTATCTGGAAGTTTCCAGCCAAGCTAGGTAAAACACATGGACACAGGTAACTATGCTGTAAAGCAAAATCCCCAAGTCCTACAATCGTGTCCTAGTGGTGTCCCTGGGCCACCACTTTCCAGGAGCAAAGTTATTTTCTTACCCCGTTGTTAAGCACACAGAGAAGGCACGGCCGCAATCCACCCAAGTGCCCACTGATCAGATAGGAACCCCCGAGGTGAGGCCAGGCGCTCCACTCTTCCCAGGAGTCAGAGAAGTGAGTTCATTTGCTGGCGTTCTAGCTCCTAATAGTCCCTGAGGCTTTTCGGGATGCTTACGCCAAGTGTGTGGGGCCGAGAGCAACGCTAGGATAACACTGGGCAAGGTTGAGTGACCCAGGTTACCAACAGCACGGACTTGAACTGGGTCGCATACCGGAGCGGGCGGGATGGGGTGCACCGCAGAACCGCAGAGTCAGGAGGGATTCCTGGTGCCGGGACGCGGCGGGCTGGGGCGCCCCATTCTTGGGGCAAGTCTGCAATGCCCAGTGCCCACAAAAGGGACACATCCATCTTTGTCACCCCGAGGCCTGGCACGGCCTGACGGCCCAGGCTCGAGAAAAGTGGGGCGGAGAGAGTGGAAGCGCAGAGAAACCCGGGGAGGGCGCTTTAGAACGGGCCAGGGCGCCCGGCTGCGCTGCCCTGCTTCTCGGGCGCGGGCCAGGCGTCCCGGCCGCCCCACCACGCCGTCGGAGCGCGCCGAAGCCCAGCCCGGGGCGGGCGGGCGGGGAGAGGGCCCGGGGCCCCGGCCGCTGCGGCGCCCCCTCCTGCGCACCCGGAGGGAGAGGCCGCGCGCGCCCGCCCGCTCTTTCTGCGCGCGGCCCTCCCCGCTGCCCCCGCCCTCGCGCCCTGTTTGGAGGGAGCCACCCTGACGTCGGAGCCGCTCCCCCGCGCCGCGCGCCCGCCCGGGGCCGCAGACGGCGCGCAGCGCAGCCCAGCCGAGCGTCGCGGGGCCGCCCCCAGTCCTGCCGGCCGCCTCGCCGAGCCTCCTGGGGCGCCCGGGCCCGCGACCCCCGCACCCAGCTCCGCAGGACCCGGCGGGCGCGCGCGGTAAGTCCCGCCCGGACCGGCACGCGGGCGCCCGGCTTCCAGAGGCTTCGGCCGCGGGGGCAGCGCCGCGCCCCCAGCCCGGAGCTCCGTCCCCAGGCGCGTCCGGCGGCCGCGGGCACCGGGTGGAGTCGCCGCCGCCGAGCCCGGGAGCCTAAGGGAACCTGGCGGACGCCTCCGGACGCCGGCGCTGGGGACGTGGGCGCGGCATGGGGTGGCCGGGGGGCACCGCCGTGCCCGGAGCCCGTCCCCAGACTCGCCCCGGGGTTCCGTTTCTCGATCGGAGTTTCCGCGACCGGGAGAGAGAGGGAGCGAGGGAGGGAGATGCGTGGCCGGGCGGGCCGGGCTCGCATGTCCCCCGGTCGTGCCCGGGCCTCGCCGCGCCTCTCGGCTCTGGACGTTTCCGCCTCCCGCGGCCCCCTCTGCTTCGGTCCCCACGTCCGTGTGTCTGTCCCTCCGTCGCTCCGTTTCCGCCGCTCACTTTCCCCGGGTCTGCCCGTCTCTTACCGTTCCCTGTCTGCCTCCGTGTTCGGCTGCCCGCGTTTGTGTTTCTGCCTCTCGCTTTTCTCTCCCTCTGTCTGTCTCTGCGCTGCCCTCTGTGAGGGTCTCGCCCTGTGTCTGCGCGTCTCCCTGACCCCCCGCCCTCCGATCCAGACAATCCCCCCAGTGTCGGAGGCTCGCCTTCCCCCAGCGGGGTTCACGAATAGTTTCCTAGACCGGGTGCGCCAAACCCTCCCCCTGCCTCCCGCCAGCCCCGAGGCCTGGCCCGGGTCATCTCCCTGGAATTGAGTCTGGGGCAGGGAGAGCCAGCCTTTCCGGGGGCTCAGTTTTCTTAAGAATTCCACCCCCGCGAGGCCGGCTGGACGACAGGCCCTGCTGCGGGCCACCTGCCCGGCCCGCTCCCAGGGCGGGGCGATTCTGATCTTTTACAAGCGGTGGCAGAGGGGGCAGCCGCCCGCCTTGGCGTGGCTGGGGGTTGGCGGGCATCAAGGGAGAAGGCCATACTTCCAGGCTTTGGGAGGCCCTCGCTCCCCTAGCTGGACGCCACCAGCCTGTAACTAGGGGCACCCCAGGAAAACAGAGGTCAGGGCTGGAGGCCAAAGACCGGGCGCTGGCCGGGAAGCAATTTGTCAACAAGGAGCCCCTTACCCTTTGTTACTGCGGAGTGGGGCCTCCCTAGACTCCCCCAGATGCTGGGACTGCTTGGGCGTGGTTTGCCTTGAGTTGGGGCCAAAGAAAAGGCGAGGCTGCAGCGTTTCCTCGGTGACCCTCAGCCCTCTCCACCCACCCCTGCAAACTGGACCTCTCTCCCGGGCCTGTGTTTTGGAGGGGTGGACACGGGAGTTGGTGTTCTGCATCGGCCAGCGATATGGCCTCATTGTTTTAAAGTGAAATTTCAGGCTGAGTTTAGCTGCTTCCCCCGACCCACAACCCCAAGGGTCGGAGGCTGCCGGAGCGGGCAGGGTTGTTGGTGAGGTCTGCAGTGGAACTTCTGCTGAGCAGATGTGCAGCCCGGCCCTGCAGCAGCTCATTAGCATGGATTTGTTTTGGAGACTGCTTTTGGTCTGCGGGCAGGAGGGTCTGCGGTAAGGAAGGCCTTGGCCTGGGTTGGGGGACTGGCACAGAGGTGGCCAGGGCTGGAAGGTGCAGGCAGGCCTGGGTGTCACGGGCTCGGCCCTGTGTGTCCGCCCCCTGGACAGTTGACTCATGCTCTCCCCAGTGCTGAAGGAAGGAAGGAAAAGCCACCCTGCCGTGAGACTGGGGTCGTGGAATCACAGTGGCCTTAAGCAGTATGCTGGAGCCAGGCTCCTCCCTGGGGGATCTGCTGAAATGGATGTTCCCAGGCCAGGCTGCCCATTTTACAGGTTGCAAACGTGAAGCTTAGGGAGGGGAAGCAAATGGTCAGTGACTCGAGCTGTAACCATTAGATTCTCCTGACTCCAGGCACACAGAGAGCCAATGTATGAGCTTTGGCCAGAACTCGTCCTCAAACCCCAGGGTGAGCCCAGTAAACCCAGTTGTGCTGACCAGAGCTGGGGCCTGATCTGGGTGAGCAGGGAGCCCCAGGCCTGACACTGCCTTGCCCCTTCACAGAGCAGCATTTTCAGTTGCACCATTCAAGGAAGTCCCTGTGCTCATTCCAAAACCTGGAGCGATCGCCCCGCCCTTGCCAAGCCCCAAGCCTAGGGCTGCAGCCCAGCCGCCCTCCACACCCTCTGCGCCCAGCAGCACGCTCAGCCTGGCGGTGGGGCACAGCCTGTTTTCTTGAAGTTGGATTTTGGAGGAGGCTGGTGTCTCCACGACCCTGTCTTAGAGTCTGAGTGGGATCTTCCTCCCAGTTCCCACCCTGGCAGGGCATCATGTTGGGCAGCCCTTGACAGTTTCTAAAATTCATTCCCAGCTGTCATCCCACTTGCTTGAGTTTCACCTCAAGGTTTTCCCTAAATCCAGGCTCACTACGGCAGATGCAGCCCAGACTGAAATAGCCTCAGGACCTGCCCAGGGTCCTGTGGGAGCGAGGGGCAGAAGGAAGCAGGCAGAAGTCAGGGAGAGGATAAGAGGTCCAAGGTAGCCCTGAAAGTGACATGGACTGAGGAATTAACTCTGATGGGTGATCTCTCCAGAGCTTTCTATGTGTTCTTCAGTTTCATTCTCACAGCTGTCCTGTGAGCTGGATATTAGCACTATCCCCACTTTGCAGATGAGGAAACTGAGGTACAGAAAGGTTAAAATGGGACCAAGTGATCCCAGTGCTTTGGGAGGCTGAAGTGGGAGTTCAAGACTAGCCTGGTCAACAAAGGGAGACCTCGTCTCTCCAAAACCTTAGCTGGGCATGGTGGTGTATGCCTGTAGTACCAGCTACTCGGGAGGTGGAGGTGGGAGGATCGCTTGAGCCCCAGAGTTTGAGGCTGCCATGAACTATGATTGTGCCACCACACTCCAGCCTGGGCAACAGAGTGACATCCTGTTACAAACAAAAACATAAAAATAAAAAGAGAAAGACTAGAATGACTGAACTATGATTTGAACTCGAGTCTGTCATCACTGTGGAGAATGGAGGAGGAGAGCCAGACCCTGCCGTTAGTGAGTGTGGGGGCACAGGAAAGGTGGGAGAGGCAGGGGAGGGTGAGCATCTGGTTTGATAGCCACAAACACTGCGTGCTCGTTGTATGTGCGGACTGCGGTGTCACCTGAATGCTGAGCCCACAGGTAGAATCGTCCATCCCCATCAGCTGGGGCCAAGTGTGGGAAGGTTCCCAGAGGAGGTTCTGGAAGCAGGAGGTGAAGATGGGGAGGGAGAGCCCCGCCTTTCCACTGAGGATTCATCAGCCCTGCCCTCCATGGCTCTGCACCGAGTGGTTGCTGGAACCGGTAACAGGAAAGGCCTGGGGTGTGTGTGTGCGTGCGTGTGTGTGTGGGGTGTGTGTGCATGTGTGTGTTTGGTTGTGTGTGGGGTGTGTGGTGTGTGTGTGTGTGGTGGGGTGTGTGTGTGGGGGGGTGGGTGTATGTGTGCGTGTGCTTATGTGGATGTGCATTTTCTTGTGCGTATATAGGCACGCTTATGTGTGTGTGTGTGCTTTGTTCTTAGGGGGTGCAGGTGGTTTGGGGTATGCCTGCTTTTGTGTGTGTGTGGGTCTGGGGTGAGTGGATACACTCTACCTTGAAAATCCTGGTATATCTGACCTTGAGTGACCCTGAATATTCAGACTTAATCCAGAAGAGGAACTGGGGAGGATGGTTCACTTGTTATACCAAAGCCGTTCCACTCTACAAAAGGGTTTCGTGGTGGTCGGGAGTCCGGAAGAGGCTGGTGTTTCTTGAGATCTAGGCCGCTCCCGTGTATTTAGGGTGCATTTAGGATGCCTTTCCAGGTGCTGGAATCCAGGCAGTGGGGCTCGGGGGCCCCAGCAGCAGTGCCGTTAATTGAAGCCTCTTTCCTGGGGACTGGGAGGCCATTGCTCCTGGTCTGGCTGGGCTTCAGAGTCCCGTGGGGAGCACATTCAGGTGCCCAGGCCATGCCTCATACCTGGGGGGTCACACAAGGAGGGCCAGGCCCCGGCATCTCAGTTTTGGCAGGCATCTCAGGAAAGAGGCTTCACAGGCCTGACCCCCAAGCTCGCCTTCCTGGGGGACCCTCTGGACCGGGGCTTCCAGGAAAGCAGCCAGGGCAGGGCTGCTGTGTTTCTTCCCTGCTCTTCCCCAGAGTGGGAGCTATGGGTGGGTCACTTCCTTGACCTGTGCCTCAGTTTCCACAGTGCCAAAATGGGTCTGCTGGTGTCACCTCCCAGGGAATTTCCTTTCTGTGTGGGCAGCAGCTCAGAATGTACCAGGCATTGGCAGGGGGCCGCTGAGGAAGTGGAGGGCTTGGGTCTGGGAGTGGTGGGTGGGTGGGGTTGGGAAGACACTCACCTGTGCTGAGGATACCTCCTTCACAGCCTCACAGCGCCCCCGTGAGGAAGGATAGTGTCACACATACCTTTACCTGGGCTCCAAGAGCCAGGGGGGGCAGCCATGGCCACAAGACAGTTGGCTAGGGAGTCAGCAATGGGATTTGACCTCTGGTTTATGGAACCCCCAAGCTTTCAGTCCAGGCAGTGGCTGAACGCTAGGGTGCTAACAGGAATGAGAGGCACAGTCGGCTGGGGCAGTGGCAGGAGCTCCAGGCCTCATCCTAACTCCAGATTCCATCCTTTCTTGCTTCTTTCTCTTCGGTGAACCTTTTCAC